CTTCCCAGTCTACTGAGTCTCAATTGGTTCTACAGACCGCACTTCCCAATGTTCAAGTTGCTGAGGGGGGTGCAGATATAGCGGTTGTTCTTGCAGTGGGCCTCTCAAATTTGGCCTAACTCGCAAAGGTAGCTGTCAATTTGGCCACTCATGGTACCACTGCTGTTGCTGATGCTCCTGACCCAGTTGCCTCAGCAACTTCTGAGCAGCTCGCTGATCTGTACCCCACTCACTTTCCTGAGGTGCCAGCTAATCTTAGGAGATCACGAGACTTTTATATGGGCATGGACACCACTGTTTTGCCAGATCTGAATGTTGAGAATTACCTTATGGATGACCTCTTTTCGGAACGACATGATGGTGCAGGCAGCTTTGGCCTTTCTCGCGAAGTCAGTTCGCCCAGTCGCCACCCAGCATCTACCCATTCCAATGTTGCTGGGCAGTCATCTTCAGGGGAGGCGCGTCGCCCTCAGACCTTTGGTCGCTCTGCCAGTCTCCCTCAGACCTTTGGTCGCTCTGCCAGTCTCCCTCCAGTAATTAAAGCTGGCAGCGGTGTAAGAGAGTCCCCTCAGTTCTCAGGGAAAGTTTCTTTTCTAAGTTATTGGGTTTCCTCCGAAGCCGCTCCCACTCTTGCCCGCATCCAGGCGTTGTACCCTGACACCTTCACTGCTTTTAACGTTCTTGGCTCTATGGTGCAGACAACACTGCTGGAGTCACTTGCTAGTTTCATTCGTGGCCTTGCTACTAAGAAGATTCTAACAACTCCCAGCAAGTTTGTGGAAAGTGCTGAGGCCAATTTCAGCGGCTTTGAGAGGAATGGTTTCGACCTATCGTGGATAAGGGATAGGCTTCAGGCGGTCGATGGCTTCCTTGAGCATGCAGACAATATGGCGATGATTGCATCCTTAGAGGAGACTATCAAAGAGTGTGAGGGTCCCTTGGAGCAGCATCGGCAGAACCTAACTCGATTCAAAGAAAAGGACTCTGCGTTGGTTGTTCAGTTGCCTCGGGATATGACCCTGATGGATTCCCTCATGAAGGGCTTGATTTGATGTATTGTGGCTTTGTTATGGCTTTTTTTCTTTGTACTTTTGCTATCTTTTTTCTTTCTGTAGAGGGTCAGAAATTAAACCCCAAAATAAGTATAGGCCTAACCACTAAGGTCGCCCCAAAGAGGCGACTGGGAATGAAAAGGAGCATAGGCCAAAGCCTAAGGGAAGCGGGCCAACAGTGGACCGAAGCAGGTTCGACCCGTCAGGGCTCCAAATGGACTCCACGAAGAAAAATGCCCAAGTGAAGTTGCGGAGGGAACATGTGCAGCGGGAAAGTGCCTCAGCGCCGCCATTCCTAATATCTTTGGTCCCGTCGCCATCTGAAGTTGCCAAGGGAAAGAAAAGAGAAAGCCGACGCAACTAAGTTGTAGAGGTAACACTTATGATGGCCAAAGTTACGAAGGTCAAGTTGCGGAGGCACTTTGTCTCAGCGCCGCCATTCCAAGTATCTTCGGTGCCGCCGCCATTCCAAGTAATGTCAATACCATAACCATCTGGAGTTGCTAAGGAAAGGAGAAAACCGAAGCAACTAAGTCGCAGAGACAGTACTTGCAGCGCCCAAGTTGCAGAAGCATTCTGTCGGCGTTGCCATCTCTAATATCTTCAGTCCTGCCGTCTGAACTTGCCGCGGGAAATGACTACCGCAGCAACTACTACCGCAGCGACTAAGTTGCAAAGGGAATACCCTACCAAGGTGATAGCAGCCTTTGAAAGAGGCCTCCCTCTGCAAGTAGAGGCTAATGCTTGGCGCTGATAGCAGGCCCCAAGGCATTACTAGCCTAGGGCTGATAACAAGCCTCAAAGTTCATTTAACTTGGCGCTGATAGCAGGCCCCAAGACTTACTGGTTGGAGCTGATAGCAGGCCCAGAAATACCAGTTTACGACGGCGATCCCGCGAAGATGGGAGCAGGGTAGCCCGAACATAAGGGACTCCCTTTCCATTACCCAGGTCATGGACCTGCCTTAGTCGCACAGACAGGACTAAGGAAGCCCCCTTGGACTTGGTACTAAGGCACAGCATGGCTGATAGCAGGCTTGGCTGTGGCCTTCGCCCTGGGAAGCTTGGGAGTTCGTGGTTAGGTGGCTAAGGGTGGAGGTTTCGCTGAGGTGAACACAAACATGGCTGATAACAGCCTATGGAGTCCTGAGAATGCATGTACTGGCCAAATAGAACCGAGAAGGCAAGTGCAGCGGCAAGGTTCACAGCTGCAAGTGCACTTGCTAAGGTTTAAGCTAAGAAGGCAAGTGCAGAGGTAAGCACTCCCGCTGCAACTGCACTTGCTGAGGCTCAAAAGGGAGTTGCAGTGCCAAACACTCTCGTCGCAACTACACTTGTTGAAGCTAAAAAAAAAAAGTAGTTATGGAGGCAAGCAGATAGTACATAGTACATGCAGAAGTACATAGTACATGCAGAAGGACACGTGGCACCTTCAACCTGGTGGCTCAAGGCAGAATATTCCATGTGATCCTCTGGGACACGTGACTTCTCTCTATTTAGCCACTTGGTGCTAAGGAAAAGCCTATAAATAGGACCCATTTTCTAAGGTTCAACAAGAGGAATTTTGGGGATTTGGGAGAGATGCTGCCCATTTTGACACTGCCATACACTTCTTCTTGAGCCACTTGCTTCACCCTCACTCAGCTACACACTCTCCAACTCCCAGATAGTTGTTGCTACTCATTCTCCAGCCACTTCCGCCATTATTGGACCATTAACATAATTTTGCCTCTCTAATCACCTCTCTAACCTAGAACCCCCTGCACTTTCTTCTTTTCCTTTTGAACATTGTAATCATGCTATGAAAAACTTTGATGTTTATGAGAAGCAAAGATTTTGAGTCTTACTTCATTGTCTTCCTTTCATTGTCTTTACATATCTTCTAAGGATGAGCAAAACTCTTGCTATGAATAGAATTTCGCCATGACTAAGTTTTTACAAGGATGAAATTTCACTAAGTATGAAAACTTTCTTCACACTAAGTGTTTACAAGAGTAACAGGTTTACTAAGTGTGATATTTTCTTACACTTTGTTTTTGGAAGTATTAATAGAGAAACTTTACAACTTTTTTTCTAGACAAGAGAAATTAAGGAAAATACTCCTTTACATACTTAGCAGCATTGATGGGGCCAGTTCTAAACCCATCATCTACTCTTGTCAACTTGTAATACCCGCTACTGCTTGCCTTAGCAACTCTGTAAGGGCCTTCCCATCTTGGCGAGAACTTGGGGATTGGTTGCCCCCGCATGATTGCATCCACTGTTTTCCATACCAAGTCCCCTTCATGGAACTCCCTGCGTTGAACAGATTGGTTGTAGGCACGAGCTATGGACTGATGATACTTTTCCATTACCCGCGAGGCCCGGTCTCTCCTTTTTTCGGCCGTCTCTATGTCATTCTTCCTGCTGTCTAAAACTAAGTGTGCTGACATAGCCATTCTTGCTGAAGGTACTGCCAACTCAATTGGTAACACAGCTTCGGACCTACATACTAGGGAAAATGGGGTTGCCTAAGTTGGCTTCCTCTTTGACGTTCTATATGCCCAGAGTGCTACGGGGAGTTGTTCAGACCATGTGCCCCCTGCTTCATCCATCATTTTATTTAGTATTCGGATGAGGGTTTTGTTGGTTGCCTCAACTTGTCCGTTCCCCTGAGGATAGTACGAGGTAGACTTGTGATACTTGATCTGGTAGGTGTCCAACAATCTACCCACATGGCGGTTCACAAAGGGGGTCCCATTATCAGACAACATCACCTTGGGTATGCCAAACTTACAGATTATGTTTTCGTTGATGAAGTTGGCCACTCCTGCCCTATCCACCTTCCTCATCGGTACAACCTCTACCCACTTGGTACTAACTTCAGTTGCTGTAAGTATCTATCTGTGGCCTTTGGATTGCTGCGCTATAGGACCTACTAAGTTGAATGCCCAAGTATGAAACAGTTAAGGGGTCTTAATGTTGTGCAGTTCAATCGCTGGTGCATGTATCAAGTTCCCAAACTTCTGGCAAGTTTGACATCTCCTTACAAAGTTTTTAGCATCTTCTTCCATTGTCGACCAGTAGTAGCTGAGGTGAATAAGGTGCCTATATAATCGCTGTGGTCCTTAATGCTCTACCTTGTGGGCTTTCCTCAGTACTTCGTTTGCCTCATCCTTTGATAAACACGCCAAAGGTACAGCTTGCCTTGGTCAAGGAAGAAGCGGAGGGCCCGCCTCTTAATTCTAATTGCATCAGCTTTGTTCTCGAGTAGTGTGCCGTTTCCAAGATAGTCAATATATGGCTGCCTCCATTCCTCACTGCTTAAGAAATGGGTTTCTTCTTCTTTAGGATGGGACTGACATTTTGCACATTGCCTCTGCAATTCAGTACTTTCCTTTTCCATCTCTGGCCAACAATACCCTTACCTCTGCACCCGTCAGTATAGACTGATATTTCCATCTCCACAGGACTTAGCATGGATCTACTTAAGTCTATAAGTTGCTTCTTGTTTGCCGACGCACATTACTAATAGGACCACAAAAATACAACTCGCTTTTGAGGAGCAGAAATGATGCAAGTTCTGCTGGTCTGATCGTTCCTTGACCTGTTTTTAGTTGTTGGATTATGTCTGCTCTCCATCCCTCAGCATCTTGCTCTGTATGTCCTTCGGTTAACACTGCTAGTGTTGTTCTTTTCTCAATGGCGATGGCTATACTATCATCTGGTATATCCACCTTTGCCCCCAGTGTAGCCAAGGCATCGGGGAAACAGTTGTGTATTCGAGTGGTGTGCTGGATTTGGACATCATCAAACTAAGTGAGCCACTTTTGAACTATGGTGCGATACGGGGCCAACAGGGGCTCCTTCAAGGAGAAATCTGTGAGAATATTATGTAATTATGGAAATCTAACTGAAAAGATGAAAAGGTAGTTTGAGAGGTTGCCATAGACAGATACAAGCTCTCTACCACATAGAGGTCTCCAACTCTACTACCGGTCCCAATCTGCTGCTTGGACATCCGATCCTGTACAAAACAGATAGAAGAAGAAAAGATAACGTCAAAATCAGAGGCATCAAGCTGACTGATAGATAATAAACTGATAGATAATTGAGGAACATAAAAGACAGATAGAATAGAGACAGCAAACATAGCAGACAGTAAGACAGACCCAACAAATATAACAGACATACCAGACCCATTAGCAGCATTAACGGTAATAGAAAAGGAAGGGGGAGTACAATTTTGAAGTAAGGAGAGATGAGGAGTCATATAATGAGAGGAAACAATGGAGGCAGATGGGAATAGCTGGGAGGTAGACAGCATATGCTGAAGCTGGCTAATCTGAGCACTCAAGGAAGCCAAGTCAGGATCAGGAGCCAGAGCAAATGCAGTAAAACCGGCGGGAGGCCGAACAATACTCAAAGGAGAAACGCATAACTAGATCGAAAACTACTGAAAAGATGAAGCAGACAGACATCCATCCTTGGGACAATGGTACTTCCAATGACCCCTTTGATGGCAGTAGGCACATTCATCCGAAGCCAGAGATATCATAATAACTAGAAAACTGAGGGGTTCAACTGTAATAAACCCAAAATAGAACAAAATAGGCAAACCAGGGGTTCAGCAAGTGCACTTGCAGCAGTAAATCTTGCTGCTACACTTGCATTTTCAGTTCTGTTCAGCCAATACATGCATTCTTAGGACTTCATTAGCCTACTATCGGCTATGTTCGTGTTCACATCAACGAAACCTTCACCCTTAGCCACTTAACCACAAGCTCCCCAACTTCCCAGGGTGAAGGCCACAACCAGGCCTGCTATCAGCCATATTATGCCTTAGTACCAAGCCCAAGGGGGCTTTCTTAATTCTGTCTGTGCGACTAAGGCAAGTTCATGACCTAAGTAATGGAAAGGGAGTCCCTTACACTCAGGCTGCCCTGCTCCCATCTTCACGGAATCGCCACAATAAACTGGTATCTCTGGTCCTGCTATCAGCTCCAACCAGTAAGTCTTGGGGCCTGCTATCAGCGCCAAGTTAATGAACTTTAGGGCCTGCTACCAGCCCTAGGCTAGTAATACCTTGGGGCCTGCTATCAGCACCCAGCATTAGCCTCTACTTGCAGAGGGGAAGCTTCTTCCAAAGGCTGCTATTACCTTGATGGGATGTTCCCTCCACATGTTAGTTGTGGCGGCTGTAGTTGCTGAGGCAGTCGTTTCCCAGGGTAAGTTCAGATGGTAGAAACGGCGGCGCTGACAAAATACCTCCGCAACTTGGGTGCTGCAAGTACTACGTTGCTTCGGCTTTCTCCTTCCCTCAGCAACTCCAGATGGCTGTGGTACCAACAATACTTGGAATGGCGGCAGTACCAACAATACTTGAAATGGCGGCATTGAGATAAAGTGCCTCTACAATTTGGCCATCGCAAGTGCTACCTCCACAATTTAGTTGCTTCTGCTTCGGCTTTCTCTTCTTTCCCTCAGCAACTTCAGAAGGCAGCGGAACCAATAATATTATGAATAGCGGCGCTGAGGCAAAGTGCCTCAGCAACTTGGCCACTGCATGTGTTGCCCCTGCAACTTGACCGTCCGTTGCGTGTGTTGCCTCTACAACTTGACTTAGACATTTTCCTTCGTTGAGTCTGTTTGAACCCTTGGCGGGTCGAACCTGCTTCAGCCCATTGTTGGCCCACTTTCCTTGAGCTTTAGCGCATGCTTCTTTTTCGTTCCTACAGAAGGGCGACCTCAGCACTTAGGCCCATACTTAATTTGGGGTTTAATTTCTAACCCACTACGTAGACATAAAAATCACAACAGCAACAAACTATTACCAAAACAAACAAAAAAATCCATAAAAAACAAGCCATTTATTGGTTAATGTTAGTAGACTTTGGAACATTGCATGCCAAGAGATCTAATTGAACCAGATTATTGGTTTCTTGGAGCCACAAATCATTTTTAAAGTACAATGCTTCACCATACTTGAGACTCGGTCTCTTGTGCTATTCTTGTCAAGATGTTGAGTTGAATAAAGGGTGGAGCGTCACATTCAGAAAATGACTTACAGAACTTAAATCTGTAAGCTTTTTCAATCTATTTGGTGTAAAATAGTTTTTGGATTCTTGGTACAACCAAACACCAAAAAATACCAAAAATATTTTATATCGAAACATTTAATTTAAGATTCAACAACACGAAACAAACCGTTTTGGTTAGAAACTCATTGAATCGTACGAACAGAATCATGAATCTTCTAAAACAAAACATGTTCACAAACAAACATCAGTTTATTATACACAAACAAACATTCACACAATCCTACAAACATGTAATATGCTTATATATTGTATACCCTGTTATTGCGAACCATTGTCTTTATTTCACTCTGAAGCATACACTTCATCATCCGATTCATCATCACCTTCATGTCCCCCCTGAGCGCCAAAAATAAAAAAAAAAAAAAGGTTTTTAGTACATTCAACAACAATCTTGACTAAATAAGCAAAACCCAGTTCAGATTTCGTCTTAGTTCAATAAAATCTTATCTCACTTTGTTAAAGTAGAAAGGGGTGTTGAGTCGTCATCGTCGGAGCCATTGCTGTTTCGTTCCGATCCAACGTTGTTGTTGTTATTATGGGCTAACATTCGACTCTGCGACATTTCCGAAACAAAAGGCTATAGATTGGATTGGATTTGGGGTGTGTGCTTAACAAAGTAATTGATTGTGATTCGACAAGCGATTGTAGGGATTTAAATAGAAAAATGTTATACACTTTAAATAACTTATTTTTTTGCTAAACTTTTCATAAGAGCATGACACTCCGCGTTAAGAAAAGTATGAACACTAACACAGCGTGCCAAATTACATATTGGCATATTGCCACAACAATCCCGCTACGGACCCCACGACCCTCGCACCCCCACACATTGGGGGTGTTTGGTGCAGTTTTTTTAAGTTAACTTATGGCTTCTGTCTTTTAAAAAGTTATTTTGGACTGTTTGGTTAAACTTATTTCAAACAGCTTCTGATTCTAACAACTTATTTTAAGTTAAAAAAGCTGATTCTGAGAAGCTGCTCACCCCTTGCTTCTGATTATCAGCTTCTGCTGTAGACATGTTAATTCACGGTTATACTCTTAGATTTTTTTATTTTTTATTTTTTTAAAAATAGAAAAAGACTCAAATGAACTATTAAATATTATTATTATTTTTTATGAAAAATGTAGACAAATAGTGAATAATAAAAAATAAAAATTAATTGAAAAAGCTACTTCACAGCTTATTTAACAAACACTACTCAGCAACTTAAATCTATAATCCAACAGCTATACCAAACAGATTAACCGCTTCTGATTAAAGTCATAATCTATAATCTGTTAAGCTATAATCTATAATCTGTTTTAACAGCTACACCAAACACCACCAGTATGCTATTGCTTTATCATCGTTATCTGCAAGATGAGGTGGTGATAGTAATGGAGGCGGTATCGTCGAATAGTAACAATCAACTTTTGTCTAGGTGGCAATGGAACATACAATGGAGCACGACGAAGCATAGTCATGGCTCTATGTTGTTCTGATTCAAGCACAAATGGGTCTTCGTGGGACACAAGCGACGAAGTCCAGCCACGAAACACACTGTGAACGATGTTTCCCTTGACAAAAGAAAATCGATCGCGATTTGCAACGAAGAGCAGAGGCTTTGGGATACTGGTGAAGGTGGTGTTGGCTTCGAGGATTACAAATTTTGTCACATAGGGATTGAGTTCACGCCACCAAATCTGCGTTAGAGAGAATTTAAAAGACTAATACGTCGAGCACTCCAAATATCCGCGACCCTTCTCTCTCTTTGCCGAGAAAAATATTTGACCCTTCTCCCTCTTTGCCAAGAAAAATATTTGATCGCTATTTGCTGTGGAGCCCTGGGGTATCACGTGGGAAGAGAGTTGCTTCGGTGTGGTTTGGTGGAAATTATCCCGTTTATATTTTGGTAAGTAATCGAGAAGATTATTTTTTAATAAATATAAGTTGATTAGATATTTTTAATTATTTAATAATATATTTATTTTTTTAAAATTGAACCGCATAAATGATCTATTTTTAAAAATAATGATAAAATATACTTTATTTTTATGTTTAGTTTTTTTTTATTTTAACCTTTTAAGTTTGTTTTTGTTTTTTCACTTTGACATTAATGTTTTAAATTTTTTTTTTAATTTACCCTAAAAGTTAAGTTGTGTCCAAAATGAAACAAAAAAATAATACATTAATAATCACGTAATAGAGCTGGACGAGGCAAGTTGGGACGGGATGAGATGGAAATAAGTTAATGTTATAACCTTAGGAATGATGGTGTTAATAAAATTAAAAAAAAAAAATTGTATAACATATTAGTATGTATAATAATTAATAATTAATAATTGATGAAATTTAAAAAATGTAAAAATAAAGTAATGAAAATGAGTGTTTAAGTATAATATTTTAATATTTTAATCTTAGTATTTTTAAAAAATATAGTGGAGACAAGATTAGGGATGTAATCGATTCGATACGGTCGGTATTTTAGTAAAAAATTACACCGAATCGATAATGTCGGTTTTATTATTTTAAACACCGATACAAACCGTTTCTCCCATCAAACCGTACGGAACCAAACCGATTGAAACGATTCAGTTTGGTACAATTTAATCGATTTAAGATTTAAATTTAAAAAATGTAAAAATAAAGTAATGAAAATGAGTGTTTAAGTATAATATTTTAATATTTTAATCTTAGTATTTTTAAAAAATATAGTGGAGACAAGATTAGGGATGTAATCGATTCGATACGGTTGGTATTTTAGTAAAAAATTACACCGAATCTATAATGTCGGTTTTATTATTTTAAACACCGATACAAACCGTTTCTCCCATCAAACCGTACGGAACCAAACCGATTGAAACGATTCAGTTTGGTACAATTTAATCGATTTAAGATTTTTTAAATTTGAGTCACTTTTAAATATAATCATTAATTTATATAAAAGCATGTCTACAATTTCAAACAAATCACAATCTATCCATTTAATACATACTTTTCAATTCCTAAATTAACAAAAATAAAAACCAAAAAAAAGTTTTAAAATACGAAGGCCTCGTTTGGGAACAGGATAATTTAGTAAATTTTTGATTATTTGACTAAAATATGAGTTAAAAAAAACTAGTATGTTTGGGATGACTTTTTGGCTTTTTACGAAAAGATGTGCACAAAGTAGAGAGATAAGAGAATTTTTGACTTTTTAGTATGGGTTGTTGGCTTTTTGGCTAATTTAGTAACTTTTTGACTTTTTGGCTAAAAATGAGGGTTCCCAAACGAGGCCTAAGGTTTCAAGAATAATGAGTTAAAGTTAGCATTATATATAATAAGAGTTTACAAATTTAAATTATAAAGATGATAAGATTAATTAATTAAGGTTAATAATTTATTATACTTATTAATATCAATATATTATTAAATTATATATATATTATAAATACAATATATGTTGAATCTGTCGGTTTCGATTTAGATTGCTGCAATCGATACCGAATCAAAAATCGAAAAAAATCAAATTTAAAAGCTACATAAATTGATTCTTATTAAAAAAAACAGACTAAATATAACCGATTTAGTTCAATCGATTTGGCCCATTTTTTTAATTTTCCTTAAATCCCTGGATCAGTGTAGAAGGGTGCGGGAAGAGGAAAACTTGTTCCCGCCCTGCTTTTACATTAGTGTGTGGACAAGCTGCGCAAAGCAATGCAGAGTAAAAAGAAATTGTCATCCTTAAAATTGATCAAAAAAATAATAATAATAAATTGTTGAATCAATAACACTGCAATAATCACATTTTTTTGGGATTTTTTTTAAGATTCTTAATATTAAAATTTTATAAGCTAAATAATATATAATATTTTTATAATAGTTAAAGTTTCTCAATATTTCTATAGAAAAAAATCGAGTCAAACAAATTTTGTCAAACTTAGAAAAATTTCGTCTCACCTCAAAAAAATTTTAATTTTTATAGAGAAATTTTAAATTTTTCTGCGCCGGAGCCGAAATTTCTTTTAGTTAAACAAAATTTCTCTCAGTCGAATTTTCTCTATGAAAAAAGTTAAGGGATCTTGACTAATAAAAAAAATATCTTGGACCTCTCCTACTATACAAAATTAAAGATGGATGTTTCACTAATTTTTTCATTTTTTTACTATTTACCATAGGAGTTGTTAATACTTACATTAGTTTAATGGGAACTTTGTTTTAAGATTGTTGATACAATTTTCTATGTAAAATAAATAATATAAAACAAATCAAACAAATAAAAATAAATTACTTATAGAATTTATTTTACCGAAATGAATAAGTATAAAAATAGATCAAGTCGAGTGTGTAACACTCTGTCCTTAAGACAAATTCGCCTCCCTTCGGTGCTTATGGATTAATGGCATCTATCTCCCAAGATACAATAATTTACACAGATTGTAGTAGCACTCCAAACAATCTGTACAGTGAACTAAAACCTGTGTTCTATACTCTCAGAATTTTCTTTAAAACTAGTATGAAGAATATATGAATGCAAGAGAGCAAAATTGAAGGAAACAAGAAAATTTCAGAATGAAACAATTGCTGGAAAGGTCCTAGTATTTATAGGGCCGAACTTATATGATTTTGAATTGAACAGGTGCAAAATCAAACTGGACAGATATAGTTCAAATTTGAACAGGTATGAAACAGATTTGAATCTGTCTGGGAACAGATTGAAACTGTCCGGAACTTGAACTGTTTTAACCTGCTGGAAATTGGACCGGAGAAGGGCTCTGTTTGGACAGAAAAAATTGGTGCAAAATTTAAATTAATTTCGTTAAGAAATTCAAATAATTTTTCCGCAAGAATTTGAAAAAATTCGAATAAATTTTGTCAAAAAAATTAATGTTAGAACTGACCCGACCCACACCCGCGCCCAGACGGCAGCGCGTGTGGCGGTTTGAGCGAAAAGTCACATTGTCCATAACTCCTCCCTTTTACAAACTTGGGGTGCCCCTTGGGGCCCAACCCAAGTATTCTCACTTAAAACTTATATACCCACATAAATTATTTTCAAGTTTTAATGTAGGACAACTATTCTAAGGAAACTCACATATTACTTCTTTAAGTGTTCATTCCACGAACTCGAAAACGACGTTAATTTCCTATTCACTCACAAATGGTTTTAACGAACCGTCTTCACCGTGTGACTTGCCATGCGGTAAGAAACACGTCATCTCTTTAGACCCACTCCAAAAGTCGTACGGGACCGTCTCAAATTTGGGCTAAAAATTTACTCAAAATAAGCTTATAAAACGATAAATTTCAACAAACTTATGGTAGATTCCAATGTATTAGTGACAACTCGCATAATAAATTAAAGGAAAATTTACCTATAAATCTCATTTTAAGGAATGATGATCCATTTAATTTCAAAGATTTTTTTATAGACCAATTAGTCCAATTGATTTTGTAAGTATAGATTTAATATATTATTTAAAAAATAGATTTACGGTTATATCCTTATTTCTATTATGTTTCCTTATCTTTTTCTTCTTTTGTGCTAGAAAGATAATGTACACAACCTATAAGAACCAAATGTGGAATGAATTTTTATATGAGAATCTTTTTTATTTGGAAAACATTCAAAATGGGTACAAACACCCTTTAGTAAACTTTGGTCAAATGTATAATTTCAAACTTTAACACTCTAATATAATACTCAAATGTAACACTCAAATATAACACTTAAAAAAAAAAAATTAGTGTACTTTTTCTAAACATAATACTCCAAAAAATTCTTAGTGTAACACTCCAATATAACACATACAAAAACTCATTTGTGTACTTTTTCCACATGTAACACTCTAATGTAACACTTTAAAAAATTGATATGGGATTCTTCAAACCATTCCAAAAGTATGTGAGATTCTGTAAACCATTCCAAAAAGAGTACAAAAATTACTTGGTAAGTTTTGAGCAAATGTATAATTTCAAATTATGAGTGTTACGTTTAAAAAAATTACATTAAGAAATTTTTTAATATTTTTGTATGTGTTACATTAGAGTATTACGTTTGGAATTACATTAATTGCAGTGTTATATTCAGGAAAAGTATACTAAAGAGTTTTTTTGTGTGTTACATTGGAGTATTACGTTTGAAAAAAGTACACCAATGAGTTTTATTGAAGTGTTACGTTGTTACGTTTGGAAAAACTCATTAGTATACTTTTTCCAAACATTTTTAATGTGTTACATTGGATTGTTAAATTAGAGTGTCATATTTTTGTTCGTAATATGAGATTTGTTCTAGGAGGGAAAATCTAAATCCTCTACAGTGCGGATTGCCCAAATGTGTAATTTTACCTTAAGAGAAAGCCACTTTTATCCTTAAAAAATTTAACCCAAACATGTAAGTGATTACTCTTTTGTATAATTTTCACTTTAATGGGACCTTTAGATTCATAAGAAAAAAATGAGGATTAAACAGGCTATAAATTAAATGTGATAAATATATATATATATATATATATTGACGAGTTGAATTTGTAATTTTTGGAAGAAAAATTATGTTGAAATGTTAAGAATGTTAGCATTTTGAGATTGATTTGGGAAAATCATTTTGTGTTGATAATTTTGCAAAGAAATCTGAAAATAAAATTTAATAGTTGTATGGATTGTATCTACTGGGAATTCTAGATTTTGAACTCACACTCGAGCGGGGTGACTGGCGTTCGAGCGTGGAAATCGTGCTCCCAGCATTTTGTTCTGTTTTTAAGTCAGCTTGAGCGGGACCTTGTGTATTACGCTCGAGCGGGTGTCGAGCACCCAATCGAGCGTGAATTTCACCTATCCAGCACTTTTGATTGTTTTTCAGTACGCTCGAGCGGGTAAGTCTACGCTCGAGCGGAAATCTTTGTCTGCATGTCCACTCGAGCGGATTAACCTACACTCAAGTGGGACCCTTATTTTCTGAAAATGCTTTTAAAGTGTACCTTTGCATCCTCATTTTATACTAGGTATCCTTAGGCCTAGTTTAAGGCATCTTAATGAGGATATAGATGTAAAACCACACCGAGTCTAAGTAGGGACTAAGCCTTTGTTTCCTGAATGTGAACTTAATGTGTGTTCATCCTGTAAACTGTGTAGGGTTGACATCTGAGGACGCGCTCTAGCTTAACTGTAGCCCAGAACTCTGTGAGTAACAACTGTGTAAAGATATGTTCAAAGATGAATATTTTCTGATTATTAACTGAACTGCTTTCTGAACTGTTACTGTTAACTGAACGAATGTATGTCCTTTATTCTGAACGTTATTGTGACATCCATAGCAACTACTGTTTACTGTTACTGCTATTGTTACAGAGATCTCTGTCAGTTCCTATCTTAGAACTTTTGTTTACTGTTATGATGGCCATCATTGACTGTTCGGTCTCTTAAAACCTACTGTTTACTGTACTGCTATGCTAATGGATGTACCACATATGACTGTAATGACTGAATAACTGATATACTGATTGAAATGATTGTTTTCAATACTGTAAGGACATTCATTCTTAACCTCTTTACGCATTATGTTATTCACTGGGCTTTAGCTCACTGTTTATATATATATATATATATATATGTAGGTGTACAGGCACCAGACCGGAGCTAGAAGCGTGGGTTAGACTCCATTTTTGTCAAGCCAACCACTGTGCCTCACTGCGAGGTTCCGAGCCTGCCAAGCTATGGCTTAGGGGTGTTTTAATTTCCTCTGTCTGCCTCTGTATCTGTTTTGTAATAACTGTATAGACTGATAGCACTGTACTGTACTGTCTAACAGGGATTAGGTCCCTGTTCTGATCGACTGTAAATGTTGTACATACTGTTCTATATTGTTCATGTATATACGTATGAAAAATCTTTTTGCATACAGACTGTCACAGCGCATTGGACACTGTTTATTTGTAATGACCCCAAAACATGTGTCATATTTATCAGTAATTAATTATGTGTTTATGCGAATTAATTGAAGAATATCTGTTTGAATTAGAAGAATATCTGTTGAGATGAGAACTTTGGGACTGAAATTGATGACCGTAATGGGTTCGGAAAACAAAATTGAGCACGCCTATGTGATACCGGGAATTTTTAGAACCCGTTGGGACGATAAATTGAGGACTGAATTTCGTCTTATTCGTTAAGCCCCGTTTGACTTGAGTTTATGGTACAATTTTATAAATATGACTTAAGATAAGGATGTTGACCTATGTTTGACTCAAAAACAAAAGAGAAGAAAAAAATCTGGAAAGGAGAGAGAGAGAGAGGGAATTTGTGAGAAAGGGGAAGAAGAGGAGGAAAAAAGAGAATCAAGCTAAATCTTCTACAATTAAGTGATTAAGGTAAGAATTTCCCTCTAATTTCTTGAAATAAGGTTGAATCATCTTTGATCTCATGGCAAGTAAATGGATTGAAGGGGAAATTATGTTTAATTTGAGCATACAAGGCATAAATTTATGATTCATGTTTATATTTGGCATATTGGGGAGGAAACTCCATGGATTTGGGAAATGAAGCTTTTGGGTGCATAGTTATGAATTTTCATTTCAATTCAAAGCTTGATCTTTTATGTGATTCACGTGGGTTTAGTTTTGAAGCTTAAATTAAGTTGTTCTTCAAGTGTTTAAGCCTTGAATTTTATGATTTTGGAAAATTGATTTTGCTAAAGGGAGACTCACGGTTTAGCAGATTTTTGGACTGGTTTTTCACCCAAATTGTCGCCGTCCGCTCGAGCGGGGATTTCGCACATCCAGTATCTTTATCACAGTCTGTTATCCGCTCGAGCGGGGGTTTTGACGCTCAAGCGGGGACCTTCTTTCAGGAAATTTTGAGAAGTTGAATTACATGATTCTCACATGTCATTTGCATTATTTAGCATCTCATAATCATGAAATAGAGTAAAGAAAGGATAGTATGGCATGAACACTTGCTTCTATGATAATGTGTTCTAATGTTAATAATTGCAGGTCAGGAGGCAAAGACCGTGCAATCAGTTTTGGAAACCCACTGTGAGTAACATTTCTGTAAAGATATGTTAGTATGATCTATGTTTAAAAGTGCTACGTTATGCTATGGTTTTGAAATGATAAATGTTTTCTGTGAACGAATGTCCAGTTTGCGAATCTAGTATGGCATCCATAGATAGTCCTAAGTGGACCAGTTTACGAGATCTCGGTATGTGTTTAATCGGTGTCCGGGACCGATTACTCTAGTCGTTGGACGACAAATGTTATGTTCTATGGAGTATGCCATTATGTATGTTCTAATATGAGATGATTATGTTTATGAATGATTTATTTTATGGATATATGAAATGAGGAATTCGTTTACTACCCCTTTACTTTAATGTTACTTGCTAAGCTTTAGCTCATTGTTTGTATATATGTATTTATAGGTGAGCACTCTGGGACTCAAGCCTAGGCAGAGTCCGAGCCGAACCGCCGTTTTGAAGCCTACCCGGTGTTTTGGTGCCTCCGAGTTGGGGCTAGGCCTAGAAGGCCGTTAGGAAGCTTGGTTTTTGGTTGTACATGTGGCGTGAGCCTATGTTTTGTACATGAATTTTGATTTTATGTAATGTAATGTAGTGGGTAAATTAACCTTTTTGGCATGTAATGTATGTTCATATAAATGCACAGCTCTTTGGACTATTAGTGTTTTGTTTTCGCTTCCGCAAGCCCCGGTTATGTATGTTTTGTACAGAAAGGCCTGTGGTAATCTCGGATTACTGGTCGGTTACGATGCCAACCTTCTCGGGGCGGGTTTGGGTCGTGACAGAATGGTATCAAAGCGCACGAGTTAATTTACTCACACACGTGTCCATATGAGCTGTAGGGTGTCCTAGAAAAGAAATAGGGCATGTCATAAACATATGTGCATGTGTGCGTGTGTTTTTGAATATATAAAGAGACAAGAACTGTAAATGATGAGACAACAGAGGAACTATTATGTTGAGAATGAAATATTCTATCTGCTATAGAGACCAATGGAGAACACTAATGCAAGGAATGTAGATGAGTCAGAATCTTCTAATGCCAGAATAGATCGGTTAGAAAGAATGGCGGAAGCTTTAATTGGGTTGGTGAGACAACAGCAAGAGCAAAACCAACAACAATAGAGACAACCATTTCCGCCTCCTCCACCACCACCTGTGCAAATGGAACCGATTAATAATGATGATGTTATCACCTTGACACAGAAATACAAGAAACTGAAACCACCAGAATTTGCAGGGGGAATTGAACCATTAAAAGCGGAAGCATGGGTATTAGAAACTAAAAAGATTTTTGAAGTGTTTCCGTGTACAGATGTCTATAAAGTTCTGTTAGCAACATTTACTCCAACAGAAGAAGCTCGAAGATGGTGGATGCTCGTACGAGGTGAGAATAGGGACTTAACATGGGATCGATTTAAAGAGACGTTTTATGAAAAATATTTTCCACAATGTATGCGAGATAGGAAGATATCTGAATTTGAACAGTTGAAGCAAGGCACTATGTCAATAGCGGCATATGAAAGTAAATTTACTGAATTAGCCCATTATGCTCCCCATATGGTTGATACAGATTACAAGAAGGCAAGGAAATTTGAGGGTGGCTTACATGTTGAGGTACTTGACCGGGTGAATGTTTTGAAATTAGAAAAATATGTTGATGTACTTGACAGAGCCTTGATGGCTGAAACAAATATTACGGCTTTGAAAACATCTAAATTAACAACCATGACTGAAGCGGAAAGTAAGAAATTCAAGAAACAAAAAGTAGAAACAGTTAGTGAATCAGTGGCCTCCGTGAATGAAAATTTGAACTCAAGTTTTAGTGATAATACAACAAAGGGCAGTAGTGAAATTGTAGGTAGACCTACTTGTAGGGAATGTGGAAAGCAACATTGGGGTATTTGTCGCCGTGGAACTGGAGTCTGTTTCAAATGTGGACAAAAAGGACATATAGCTAAAGCTTGTCCACAAGTTTACTCAAGAAATGAAAGACCCATTGCTAGTGGAGTTAACTCAACAATGACACCAAAGACAACCGTAACATCTACTCCTGAGGAGAATACATTCAGGCAAGGAAGGGTTTTCACCCTAGTTTCAGAAAAGACACAGAATACTGGAAAAGCGAATACAGGTATGATTTTTATTATCTACTGTGATGTTAGCGCTGTTATCTATGCGATGGCTATGTTACTTATGCGATGGAAAATATTGAACATGTGACTGTGACGGAACAAATCATACGTAAATTATGTTAAATCAATTGAAAGTGAACGACATGAAATAAATTGACTATGACTGTAATGAAACAAATTTACCTTTGCTATTCCCTTTGCTATGGATTGTTATATCGACGTTACTACCTCTGAATTGAACGCGATGGAACTTGTTAGCTGACTTCAGTATATGTAAAATATGTTCATTATGTGTTTGACTGCTATGATGCTGCCTTCATTGTTATGGAATGAACATACAAACTACCTTATCATGCTGAATAACTGAATAGAACCGTGGAGTTGTTTCTGACTGAGCTTGTGCCTGGATAAGCAAAGTTTGGAGGACCAAACTTCTTAAGGTGGGGAGAGTGTAATGACCCCAAAACATGTGTCATATTTATCAGTAATTAATTATGTGTTTATGCGAATTAATTGAAGAATATCTGTTTGAATTAGAAGAATATCTGTTGAGATGAGAACTTTGGGAACTGAAATTGATGACCGTAATGGGTTCGGAAAACAAAATTGAGCACGCCTATGTGATATCGGGAATTTCTAGAACCCGTTGGGACGATAAATTGAGGACTGAATTTCATCTGATTCATTAAGCCCCGTTTGGCTTGAGTTTATGGCACAATTTTATAAATATGACTTAAGATAAGGATGTTGACCTATGTTTGACTCAAAAACAAAAGAGAAGAAAAAAATCTGGAAAGGAGAGAGAGAGGGAATTTGTGAGAAAGGGGAAGAAGATGAGGAAAAAAGAGAATCAAGCTAAATCTTCTACAATTAAGTGATTAAGGTAAGAATTTCCCTCTAATTTCTTGAAATAAGGTTGAATCATCTTTGATCTCATGGCAAGTAAATGGATTGAAGGGGAAATTATGTTTAATTTGAGCATACAAGGCATAAATTTATGATTCATGTTTATATTTGGCATATTGGGGAGGAAACTCCATGGATTTGGGAAATGAAGCTTTTGGGTGCATATTTATGAATTTTCATTTCAATTCAAAGCTTGATCTTTTATGTGATTCACGTGGGTTTAGTTTTGAAGCTTAAATTAAGTTGTTCTTCAAGTGTTTAAGCCTTGAATTTTCTGATTTTGGAAAATTGATTTTGTTAAAAGGAGACTCACGGTTTAACAGATTTTTGGACTGGTTTTTCACCCAAATTGTCGCCGTCCGCTCGAGCGGGGGTTTTACCGTTCGAGCGGGGATTTCGCACATCTAGTATCTTTATCACAGTCTGCTATCCGCTCGAGCGGGGGTTTTGACGATCGAGCGGGAACCTTTTTTCAGGAAATTTTGAGAAGTTGAATTACATGATTCTCACATGTCATTTGCATTATTTAGCATCTCATAATCATGAAATAGAGTAAAGAAAGGATAGTATGGCATGAACACTTGCTTCTATGATAATGTGTTCTAATGTTAATAATTGCAGGTCAGGAGGCAAAGACCGTGCAATCGGTTTTGGAAACCCACTGTGAGTAACATTTCTGTAAAGATATGTTAGTATGATCTATGTTTAAAAGTGCTACGTTATGCTATGGTTTTGAAATGATAAATGTTTTCTGTGAACGAATGTCCAGTTTGCGAATCTAGTATGGCATCCATAGATAGTCCTAAGTGGACCAGTTTACGAGATCTCGGTATGTGTTTAATCGGTGTCCGGGACCGGTTACTCTAGTCGTTGGACGACAAATGTTATGTTCTATGGAGTATGCCATTATGTATGTTCTAATATGAGATGATTATGTTTATGAATGATTTATTTTATGGATATATGAAATGAGGAATTCGTTCACTATCCCTTTACTTTAATGTTACTTGCTGAGCTTTAGCTCATTGTTTGTATATATGTATTTATAGGTGAGTACTCTGGGAGTCAAGCCTAGGTGGAGTCCGAGCCGAACTGCCGTTTTGAAGCCTACCCGGTGTTTTGGTGCCTCCGAGTTGGGGCTAAGCCTAGAAGGCCGTTAGGAAGCTTGGTTTTTGGTTGTACATGTGGCGTGAGCCTATGTTTTGTACATGAATTTTGATTTTATGTAATGTAATGTAGTGGGTAAATTAACCTTTTTGGCATGTAATGTATGTTCATATAAATGCACAGCTCTTTGGACTATTAGTGTTTTGTTTTTGCTTCCGCAAGCCCCGGTTATGTATGTTTTGTACAGAAAGGCCTGTGGTAATCTCGGATTACTGGCCGGTTACGATGCTAACCTTCTCGGGGCGGGTTTGGGTCGTGACATTATTTACTGTTTTGGCTGCCGCCATGCCCCTGTACTCTGTATTATTGTCTGACTGTTAAGCAGGCCTTTGGTAATCTCAGATTACTGGCCGGTTATGGTGCTAAACCCATAGGGGCGAGTTTGGGTCGTGACATTTTTCTAAACATAATACTCCAAAAAATTCTTAGTGTAACACTCCAATATAACACATACAAAAAACTCATTGGTGTACTTTTTCCACATGTAACACTCTAATGTAACACTTTAAAAATTGATATAGGATTCTTCAAACCATTCCAAAATGATGTGAGATTTTGTAAATCATTCCAAAAAGAGTACAAAAATTACTTGGTAAGTTTTGAGCAAATGTATAATTTCAAATTATGAGTGTTACGTTTAGAAAAATTACATTAAGAAATTTTTTAATATTTTTGTGTGTGTTATATTAGAGTATTACGTTTGAAATTATATTAATTGCAATGTTATATTCAGGAAAAGTATACTAAAGAGTTTTTTTTGTGTGTTACATTAGAGTGTTACGTTTGGAAAAAGTACACCAATGAGTTTTATTAAAGTGTTACGTTGTTACGTTTGAGAAAACTCATTAGTATACTTTTTCCAAACCTTTTTAATGTGTTACATTGGATTGTTAAACTAGAGTGTCATGTTATTAGAGTGTCACATTTTTATTCGTAATATGAGATTGTTCTAGGAGGAAAAATTTAAATCATCTATAGTGCGGATTGTCCAAATGTGTAATTTTACCTTAAGAGAAAGCCACTTTTATCCTTAAAAAATTTAATCCAAACATGTAAGTGATTATCCTTTTGTATAATTTTCACTTTAATAGAACCTTTAGATTCATACGAAATAAAGGAGGACTAAACAGTTTATAAATTAAATGTACAATTTGAGAGTTTAAGGGGAGAGGGCTTACCTGTGCTGTTTGGATCAATAGCCTTGTTTTTGATGATCTGAATGTTGATCTTTTAAAATTTTGTGGGTAAATCAAATTAAATTTATTAAATATTATAATCATGTAACTTTTTATATTCATCTTTAAAAGAGTATATAAATTATTTTTAAAATCATACATGTCATTTAGTTATTAAAAACAAATATAATATAATTATAAGACTATAATTATTAAATTGATCTTATTTTTTGATAAATAATTTACAAGCATGATTCTAAAATAAGAATTGTAGCTTTGCATTTTTTAAAATTTATTAGCTCTATCCACAGCCACAAGTTGCTTTGGCTCCCAACTTCTTCCCCTCTTCAACAATTTATCATTTTTCCTTTCTTTCTCATCTTTGTTTTTCTCTCTCTTCTAGAAAGCCCACAAGGTCCTCAACCAGTTCTTCATTCTCTTAGTTTCTCTCCAAAAATATATTTGTCTTATTTGTTTGCCCCATTCTCAAAGACCTAACCATTTCGAAATAGAGACTCTCAATGAACTCAAGTATTTAGATGACAATATTTAAGTTCTTGTTACAAGTGTTCCCTTGCAGTAACCGAATGGGGATAATTTTGGTAACGATTGTTACATGGTTGATAAACAGGTCAAGAATGGGGGAGCTTCTATTTGCATATCCCCAATCCCCTCTTTACACACATTTAATAAAAATTATTTTTATTATAATTTTATTTTCAAGTGAAATTACTGTTATGGACATTAAATAAACACATTCGAAAGTTGAATGTCAAAAAAATAAAAAAAATTCAGAACTCTACTTCCGAACAAATTATTTATTTTCGGAATACTACTTTCGAACCAATTGTTTATTTTCAAAAATCTACTTCCGAACCAATTATTTATTAAAAAAAATATGTAAAGAGGGGAATAGGTGTGTGCAAATAGAAGCTCCCCAAGAATGGTTGGCTTGAAAGAAAAAAGAAAAGAAACAAAACAAAAAGGATTGAAAGATGGTCAAGTAAGTTGTTTCTAATTTTGGAAGGATTGGAATCAAATCTTCTACTCTTTAACTCAACTTCCTTGTCAAGGTTGCGGCAGAATATGCCATTCGTAAGGGGAAGAGGTATAAAAAATAAATAAATTGGAGGCTACATCGGAGACGAATTTTGATGTTAGGGAGTGGCAGAAAATGGCCATAAATACATTGCATCAGCCTTGCACATGTTCAATTTTCTTTCAAAAATTCAACCAGAGTTAGTGATTGGATTATTTAGAGAGAAAATTCAAAATAAAGAGGCAAAATTGTTGCAACTAAAAGTACAGAGACTAAATCGACACAAAAAATAACCTATAAAAGCTACATGAATCAAGCATCCCACATCGATTACTTGTATTAAGAATCCCATGACTACTACAATTTGTTCAAGGTATCTGAGACTACTTGTATTAAACAAACGCTTCTGCAACTCAGTTTACAGCGTCAATTTCAAGTTCAACATTCACAACTGTGAAAAGCATCTACACTACATTTATGCACTACTCGCTGCATATACATCAACCAAAAACTTCTTGTCCTATTCTAACAACTGCACACAATATTCTATTCAGTCGGGCAGCAGTAACTAATGATACATTTGCATTTTCTGACAGTAAAATATTTTACTTTCTGGGTTGCCAATCAACGGTATCTCTGCTTTTCTGTCTGTGGGTTTTTTTGGCCACGATCCTCTTTATTGATGAGAACCACTTCAGCACACTGATTAAGACTGTCCATCTCTTCTGAGCAAAAATTGAAGAGCTAGACAATATAACAGCATTAACAGAAGTGCGTAATTCAGTTTTTGATTCCAAACTGGATTTCAGAGATTGAACGGAACAATCAGGATCGAAATACTGCAGATGATCATCATCATAGAAGGTTTGAGTAATGGACTCAGTTTCACAGAGCAGAGAGTTCACAACTTGACTGGAGAAATTTGGAGGCTGTTCAAATCTAACATCCCTGTTGTCAATATTATGCAAAAACCCAAAATCATCCAAGCTATTCACACCTCCAACGGAGCAAATGGAAGAAGGCATGATATCCGGAGAACACACACTTGATTGTGGATAATCGAATCTAACAATCTTTGGAGAAGTCAAAATCTTACACCCATCAGAAGTCTCCACCATGGCTGAGTTTGAGTACAGCTCGTTATTGAACAAGCGCGACGAGCCATCCATGAGAGAGGCCTCATCATTGAAAGAGACTACATCTCTCCACTGTTCAAATGCAGCTATTACCAAGTCATGGGCTTCAGCCTGAATAAAGAGAGAAAAGAAGACGACTATAAAGGAATTAGAATGATCCTGATAATCTACGTACGGAGAAGGACATGTGACACGAAAAAAGCACAATACGGACACACAAATACGAAAATTTTCAAAAAATGTACACGACACATGAGAAACACATACAAAATAAATAATTTATATATTTATTTTACATTATATATAAGGATAAACAATTACAGTATGTCATCTATGTCCTGATGTCATATCATATTTAACAAAATGCAATGTAAAAAGGAGAATAGGAATAAATTTATATTATCTTTCTTTTATAATTGGAAAAAATGCAATGTAATCCTAATCTCTTCTAAATGCTAAAGAAGAGAAAATGTATAAATTTTTATTATTTTTCTTTTATAATTGGATTCCAAGTGATTTAATTAAAACTTGTAATGTGTTTCATGTGTGTCCAAGCGAAGTGTGTGAAGTGTGACCAAGTCGAATAAAATTTAAACTACAATAAGACATGTTTGGACAAGTGTCAAGAAGTGTTTGAGAGTGGCAGGTCGTGTTGCGTCCGTGCCTAACACAACACGCTACCTTCATAAAAGTAATAAATAAAAAAAGATATCAATCCCAAGTGATTAAATAATGCCTTCTCAGTTTCAGAGAGCTTATCGATAGGAGAATATTGGCATTCCGAAAGTAGTCCCATCACTTGTCCCACGACATTGAAAACCACACCAGATTTCCGCTGAGATCCAGGAGGACAGTAAAAGTAAAACCTAGGATCAATTGAGCATGTCCGAGCATGGTCTACAGTAGCTTCCCACATTTTAGCAGACATACCCGCGCCAAGGATCTGTAGAAACGCAAAGAAACAAATGTTGTTAGCAACTCACACTTCATGGGAGAGTGAAACGGTTTATCTTTTCATGGAGATGAACATCCTTATTTACAGGTCATACAAAACTTCATGTACCTGCATAAACACAGCCTCAAATTTCACTAAAACTGTGGTTCCTTGTAAAGCACTGATTTCAATTTTAAACTAGTCTTGATAAAGAACAAAGACAATAACAATCTCTTGTCCAGCATGTACATAAGGTTTCCAATACAGCAACCTCAAAAAACTTAAATATGTAAGCTCAAATTTTCCAAGCAACAAATTGAACTATCAAGCTTTAAATGTCATTAATATTTTCCAAAGGTCTTAATAGGACTAGCACCTGGGTAATAACTTTTTGTTATGGCCTTTTTTCAATTTATGTAAATGAAGTGGATGTAAGAATACAAGAGGTCTGAAATAAAGAAACTACAAATATATATATATATATATATCATCCTTTTTTCCTTTCAATATTTCCTTTAATTTCTTTTTTCTAGTATCAATTAGAATGCTGGTTCTTACTATTCTAATGTTATTTGATATGAATATACCACACCAATTGATGAGATTCCACTGATACAGAGCCAATTCCAATAGACTTATTGGAGGGTCCCATTGACATGCATAAAGTAGGAGTTGAACCTACAAATTCACTAAAATATATTGCAACAGAAAAATACAGGGAAGGGACAGTATGTATTACATTTCTAAGCCTGGCAGGGTTTACAAAGAACAGTCTCAGAAAATCCTGCACAGAGTGGACATTTTCGCTACTCAAACGCTTGTGGAAAGCTCCATCTTTACCAATTTTTTTGAGCCGCCATACTTCATCAGGCAGAGATGGGGGATGGTGCTTCTTGTACACTGCAAACAGAAACAGCTGAAGTTAAGTCCATTTTAATCAAGGTATTCCTGAGAAGTAGCTATATTACTTTAGACATACTTAACAACGCATCATTTTTATCTTTTTACCCTTTTAAGTTTTCAAGGCCTCCACATGCATGGAAGACGGTAGGACAAGAACAACATGCCAACAAAAATCAATTCCAGAAAAATGACAAAATAGTAGAACAAAGAATAGTAAAATCAAGATGCAAAAAGGGTATATTAGGAAGAAAGGCAAAAGCAAGGATCAACTAATTGTACTGTATTCAAAATGAAAAATTACATGAACTGAAGAGCCTAAGCATAAAATTTATATCCATTGAGTTCCACAATTTAAACACTATCCCAAGCTCATCCTTTCTATTGTTTGCACATGCTGTGAACCATCTATCTTTGGTATCACATTCTACTGTGGGTCACTAAAAGCAATCGGGAAATACAAGTGTTTAAAAGAAAAAAGAATGAAAACTAATCCCACTGAATCTACCGTCGCCTAACCTTTCCCCCAGTGGTCACATAGATCTTTGCAATTAGGTTTTCCATTCATGGAGCAATTCAGGCAATGCATTAATAAGATCATTGTTCCAACTACTATTGAAAGCACAAAAATATGTAATTTGGTAACAATTATACAAGAAAAATAAGAAAATAGAAGTTCTTACATTCTCCACGGTGATCCTTGATAATAAAGGATTCAGTCTTTGCTTCTCTTACTCTGATTCCATCAAAATTATCCACAACTCTTGCCCCCAGACTAAATTTACGGCTCCTAGTCCAGCTTGAATTATCTGTAAAAGAAATCTCACCCACAAAACCAATGCCATCTTTAAGACTTAACATTGTTTCCCCAGTAAGAAGGCGTTTCTTCCCTTCCCTTTCTCTAACAATGTTATTCTGAAACTCTTCAAGTGTCCAATTGCCTCCTTCATCACCATCGAAATCTCCCTCAAGAACTACTATTTCCACCTTTGCTGAGGCCTCAGGCCCAAAGTCGACAAATTGTCCTGTAAGAGCATCAACTAAAGCCACTGTTAAGGTCTTACAGTCTTCTCCTTCAATACGAGTTCCAGTGAATAGAGGAAGAGAGATTTTGGGAACAAACTGTAACTGTAAGCTTCTCGATTCAGAGAAGTGGATCTCTTTCCCACCATTCCTAAACAAAAATAGCAACCATCAAGCAGACATGATCAAACTCAACTATGCTATGACGCATATTGTAGGGTCTAACAACTTACCACTTCATACTGGTCGAATACTTTCTTAGGGCCAATTCAACTTCTTCTTGTACCTGTCAACCCATGTTAACATAAATGAGTTACAAATAGCAGGTCTGCAATCAATTTAAGCTGCAATAAGAAACCACTATAGAATCAAGGAGAATACTATATCAAATTAGTACCTACTGCTGTATATTGCGGATAAAAAACTTAAGACAAGATCTATAAAAGAAGCTATCACACGGCATTCACTATGCTCTTGGATATCATTACACCACACAAATCAAGTCACCTAATACGGTAGCATCTGTACAATTTAACTAGTGCACTGAAAGAACTATGTAGAACCCAAAAAAACAGTTGTTTCTTCACAGAATGAACCAATTAGGCAGGTAACATGCAGTCATATCCAACATAGTTACATAGTAGAGTTAAAGCTTAAACAATGACAATGAGTAAGGAATTATCAGATCAGTAAATTTCTACAAAAGCAAAGAATTCAAATGTCCTGCTCAACATAGAATTATAAATCTATCGAAGTAGTCATTACACATCATTATTAAATGATGTCCATTGCAAATTCCTATTTCCGTTCACAGAAGTTTACAACAAAACTTATAAACACCAAAAGAGAGCATCAAAGGTATTAAATATAAGACCAGGCAGCATTTTCCATTAAAATATTTCGCTGTATCTAGTTATTAAATAGAAAACAAAGTACTAAAGAAGAAGAAAAAGAAGAAGAGGATGGTGATGGAAATGATATTGTCCAATGACTCCAACCATACTTGTCAAATTTTATGAGATATGATTCTTTTAATGCTCTTTTCTCACAACTTAGTTTGTGTGACACCTGTAGTTGTATGAACAATGCAACAGATTCAGACCTGGAGCAATTGTCAAAAAAGAAAAAACAGCACAAACCTTCACAATTCAGTAGTTAACTGGCCTAACAAACTGTTGAACTCTGATAACATGTACATAGAAAGTGTTAGAATAGTCGGGTGTTATTTAATTCTATAATGAGGGTTATTATTGTCATATTGTACCACTTGAGTTTAATATAAGTAAGTGCTGAGGTGAAGGGTTAGCTTAAGCACCCAAAACCTAATTTCTACATTTTCTCTTTTCTTTTCTCTCTTCTTAATCCTAACCCTAGTTTCTACATATCTTTATATTCAACTTGGTATCAGAGCACCGATTTTACTCACATAAGTGTTCAATAGAGCCTGGAGATCAGCACTAGGTTACTACGAAGTGCTAATGTCATCTTCTGTACGATGACATCAACGTGACGTCACTATCTGTACGGACGTCGTGCTCCGGCAAACTTGTGGGCCTACTCGGTTTTGCCTTCTGAGAATTATGGTGATTTTTGCGGAATTTTTTGAAGTTGTTTGATGTGCCTTTTTGATTTTTGAACGTTTTTCGGATTTATGGCACCTATTTCTGCAATCTGCGATTTCATCCCTTGTTTGGTGGTTTTGCTTGTTAGGCTCTACCCTATGGGAGCCGACTGCACCTTCTGAGGCCTTCTTTGGAGTTTGTTTTGTGTTTTTGTGCACCAGCAGTGATCTTTAATCTTCTAGAGGTTCGTCTCCTTCCTTTTTTTCTGTTCTGCTGTCTCTCTTCTGTTCCTGTTCTGCTGCCTCTCTTCTGTTATTATTCTGCTGCCTGGTTATTGTTGGTAGAAGTGTTGCCTTGTTCCATTTTGGTTGTTCGGTGGTGGTTTCAGCCAAACAGAGAGTTAGTGGTTACCTAGTTCTGTCTTTTGCTATTGATTGTGTTCAACAGTTTGCATCTCATAGCTGAAAGTAAAACCCCATTGATTAAGGACGATGTGTCTCACCCTCCATTAGTTAAAGATGATGATTGCCCAAATCTATTGCTACCAAGAAATTGAATGGTTTGAATTACATGGCTTGGGCACATGCTGTGAAGGTGTTTTTGCGTGGAAAGAAAAAATTACGCTTCCTTACGGAGCTTCCTCCTTCAATTAAAGATACAAATTATGATGATTGGTCTAGTTCAGATTCTTGTGTTATGGGTGTGAGAATATGCCTATATTCAGGCCTTGTTTGGTTTGTTTTTCAGAAAAAATTTTGAGAAAAATTCTTTACAAACAAATTTTCAAGAGTAATCAAACCAAACAAATTTTTTCAAGAAAAATCTCAAAATTTTGTTTGGTTACCTACTTTCCAAAATCACTTTCTCTTTCATACACATCAAATCAATCACTTTTTTTAAAACTCTCCCCAAAATAATTTTTCAAAGTCATTTCTGAAAAAAGGCAAACCAAACAAGTTTTCGTGCTTTTTATCTCAAAAACTACTTTACAAACACAATCCAAACACACCCTCAGTATTCTCTTTTTTTTTTTTAGGATTAGGACTTAGTGATCTATATCTATTAGAATTCTATATCAGTGATGTATTCGTTTAGGATTAGGAATTAGTGTTCTATATAAGTGATGTATTCTCTATTCAATTGATTCAATATAATATACAATTTCATTCAGAAAACTTACAGGGTATCAGAGCCGTGTCTGAAACCCTAGTTCTGATTGTTCGAAGCTCCCTCTAGTTCGAAGTTCTCCTTTCAATTTGAAGGTCCCCTCTGGTTCGAAGTTTTCTCCCTCTAGTTCGAAATCATCTCTGCTTTGATTTCTAGATTGGATCGAATTCGAGTCATGAGTTCACCCTTTGCTTCGTCTTGCTTGTGCGACTCATCTGAGTTCAAATCGCGGCCTATCAACTCGCAACCTACGTGATTCACCTCACGACTTCGCATCATAGCCATTTGGTTCGACTCACCTTGTTTCCTCTGACTCACAAACCCACTTGGTTCGCGACTTGTTTCCTCTGTTGCCGACTTGGTTCTGGACGTGCGACGCTTGCTTGATCTCTCTCACTCTGATTTATCTTCATTTGACTCTGCTTGTGAGGTCTTGGTGGCCCCTGATATTTGGTTCTATTTTGGGATTAGTACACTTGAGCCCCCTAATTTTTTGTTTATTACACTTTACCTAATCAGTTCTCTATTTTTGGTTCATTATGATGCTAGGTGATCAGACTCAGGCTATTAGTTCTCCATCTAACTTCTTGGATTCTGCTAGACCCAGGACGAGATGTTTGGCTTCTGATCAGTGTGCCTTCTACCATCAGAGGGGCCATTGGAAGTATCACTGTCCCAAGAAGGGATGTCTATCTAGCTCATCTTCTCAACAGTCTCGGACCCAGTTTTGCTGTTCTTCTCCGAGTAATTTTCAGGCTCCTGCCAGTTCTACTACATCCGCTCCAACTCTTAATTTTGACTTGGCTTCCTTGAGTGCTCAGATTAGTTAGCTTCGACATACACTGTCTACCTCCCAGCCATCCTCGTCTGCCTCCATTGTTTCCTCTCTTCATTCAGGTTTGCTTGGGTCTTCTTCAGGTATCTCTTCGTCTGACTGAATTTTTGACTCTGGTGGCTCTTATCATATGACTCCCCATCTCTTCTTACTTCAAAATTGTATTCCCCCTCCTTTTCCTATTACTGTTAATGCTGCTAATGGGTCTGCTATGTACGTTCGATCTGTTAGGTCAGTTTTACCATCTGCTATGTCTGTTGTCTCTATTCCATCTATCTTTTATGTTCCTCAGTTATTTGTCAATTTATTATCTATCGTCAGCTTGATACCTCTGGTTTTGATATTATCTTTTCTTCTTCTGTCTGTTCTATGCAAGATCGAATGTCCAAGCAGTAGATTAGGACTGGCCGTTGAGTGAGACCTCTATGTGGTGGAGAGGTTGCATTGCATCTGCCTATGACAACCTCTCCAACTGCCATTTCTTCTTTTTAGTTAGATTCTTTATTTAGTCCTTTCTACTTATGGAATTCTAGATTAGAGCATTTGTTTACTGACCGCTTACGGTCTTTAACTCAGTCAGGTATATTGGGTAAAGTTTCTCCTAGTAAACTTACTGAATGTCGGGGGGTGTAAACTTGCCAAAATGACAACCTTACATTTTCGTAAAAGTACTTCTATATTTGATACACCATTTTCTTTAGTTCATACTGATGTTTGGGGCCCTTCTCCTGTTCTTACCAAAAAGAGTCCTGCATACTATACTATGTGTCATTTGTTGATGACTGCACCTATTACACTTGGATTTATCTTATGACTCATAAGTCCGATTTTTATTAGATATACCGTACCTCTCAGTCTATGATTACTGCTCAGTTTGGGTCTACAATTAAAGTGTTACTGTTTGACTTAGGTGAGAAATATTTTAAAAATGAATTCTGTGAGTATTTAGCCAATTTGAGTACCATTCACCAAACTTCCTGTACAGATACTGTAATTTTAAAGAAGAGAAAGAGTTAGGAATGAGTTAGACTTCATTCCCTTTTATATTGATAATTGAGTCAATTACATGCATAGTTTGAGTAATCAAAAAAGGAATGAATAAGAATACAACCAACTATTTCCTATTCTAATAATTTTCTATTCTAACACTCCCCCTCAGGCTGGTGCGAAGATATCTATCATGCCCAGCCTGTTGAGAATGCCATGAAAAGATTTGCTCCCTAGTCTCTAGGTGAGAACATCAGCTAGTTCGGCCCCGGTCTTCACAAATGGAATACATATAGTGCCACTAGTGAGTTTTTCCTTGATAAAGTGCCTATCAATCTCCACGTGCTTAGTTCTATCATGTTGAACTGGATTATGAGCTATGTTGATTATGGCCTTATTGTCACAAAATAGTCGCAAGGAGTCAGTCTGATAGATTCTCAAGTCTCCCAACAATAGTTTAATCCATAGTAACTCACATACATCCTGAGCCATAGCCTTGAATTCTGCCTCAGCACTAGATCTAGCCACTACATTCTGTTTCTTACTTCGCCATGTGACTAGGTTGCCACCCACAAATGTGCAGTTTCCAAAAGTTGATTGTTTGTCAGTGACTGAGCCAGTCCAATCTGCATCAGTAAATGCCTCCACACTAAGATGGCCATGTTTTGAGAAATAGAGACCCTTTCCAAGAGAAGACTTCAGGTATCTCAGGATTCTCATAACAGCCTCCAAGTA